GTTAAAGTCCTTAGGGCAAACCCTAACTTCGATGTTGTCAGGAAGTCTAAGTCTCATACGAAGAACATCCAGATCTACAACCATGGTGGAAGTGCTTGAAGGATCTAAAAGGGGGTAAATAGAAGCCTGCCGAAAGTAAAAAGGAACAAAACTAACCTCTGAGGACTGCAAGATCGCTGGAAGAATGACTCTTGAAGGATTTCACCGGAAAAAGCTTAGCACTGTTCTAAAAAGAGAGAGATTTGACTGATGATGGAGACAGTAAAAAGACGTGAAGTGGTATTCTAGAGCCTTATAAAGGCGTGGGGGGCCCGAGGGCTGAAGCGTCAGGAAGGCGAGAAATTCATCGAGCCCCGGAACATTGATTCTGGATCTGACCGTCCGTTCCCCCACGTGGTTTTCTCGAGCCGTCAACGTCATGATGAGACGCCATCAATAATTACCCCCTTATTAAATAAGGGGCAATTATGGGGGTAGTTGAGGAGGCCCAGGACGACATGGGCCGGATCTGACTTGCAAGCACGACATCCGGTCCGTACAGCTGGGTCGGCCCATAAAAAGACACTGCCATATGGGCCGAACGCGAATAAGCCCATCAAAGGTGACCAGGACTTATGGAGGAACAGGCCCAGATCCAGCAATCCGTCAATATTTGTAAATATCTTGTAAATATCTATAAATAAGGGAAGGAATGGAAAGAATGGGGGGATCTTTTTGTTGAAATGTAAGAATTCTAGAGAGAGAGAGAGAGAGTATGAATTTCTTGCATCTTCATATATATATATATATATATATATATATATATATATATATCAGATACAATGTATATATTTGGAATCCAAAAAAAAAAAAATGGTCCAAATAATATTGTAAGAAAACATGTTTAGAGAGAACTTGCTTCCTAAAAGTCCACTAAAATAGAAATTGTTAGAGAACTTGTCTCTTTAAATCTCAGTCAGAAAAGAAAGAAGAGAGAAACTAGTCTAATGCGGGAAAATATATTTTCTATTATGATTCTTTTTCCATCTATCCAAACTTTAGAAAAATTAAAAATTTTCTATTTCCTTTCTTTTCTAGTTGATTCCATCTAACCAAACGAAACCTTAGTGATTAAGTGGGGAACAATTAGGGGTGTACACGGTCCGGTTTGCTTCAGTTTTGAGAATTTTTGGAACCAAATCGATCTTTTCGGTTCCAGAAAATCTGAAACCGAATCAGACTATTTGAGCCATGGAATCGAACCGGTCCAAACCGTGAAAAAACAGTTTGGTTCGATTCGGTTCCATAGTTCTAGTTGAATTTTATTTACCTATTTTTTCTCTTGAATTGTATATACAACAAAAATAAAAATAAAAGCATTCACATTCCCGAATCCAAGACTAAAATCGAGAGAGAAAAAGAGAGGGGAAAGTGGGTGAAATAGACCCAAAGCTAAACACTAGAAATTAGAATAAGGTTGAATCTTGCTGAAATTGAGAAGGATGACAAATCCGTGGTTGACAACTAAGAAATTTGACTTGTTGTCGTTGTTGGTTGTGCTTGAGGCGCAAACACGTTGTAAGACTTAAAGATCTGTGAACTGAAAGTGAGAGAGAAAGGGAGAAAGTGTGAGAAATGATGTCATTGATGGCAGTGATAAAAGATTGATGGCAGTGATAAAAGATTGATGGCAATGACTGAACGTCGAAGGTAGTGTGTGACAGATTGACCAATAACCGGATCCCACAGCGATGAGAACTAAGAAGTGAACGAGGCAGCATTAGCAAAAAAAAAAAAAAAAAAAAAAAAAAAAAAAGAAATAGTGGAGGAATGTTGGCAAGCATCCAAAAATCAAAACAATGGGTGGAGCAAAAACAAATAAAAAAAATATCAGGTAATGATGAATGTTGGCTCACGTTTGATCGTTATGTCGAAATTCCTTACAAAGTTAAGAGTAGTATATAGGTATAGCTATACACACACACACACACATATTATAACGGTTCGGTCTGGTCCTGTAGGACCCTAATCCGAGATCGAACAAAAAATTCACGTTTCCATTATTTTGGAACTATGACTGGACCAAACCGCTGTGGAACTGGCCCAGATTGCCCGATTCGGTTCAGTCCAGTTTGGTTTTTCAAGCACTGACGGCAGTGATAAAAGATCGATGGGAATGACTGAACTTCGAAAGTTGCGTGAGAGAGATTGATCAACAACTGGATCACGCAGCGATGAGAACTAAGAAGTGAATGAGGTGGCGTGAGTAAAGGAAAAAATTGGCATAGTGGAGGAATGTTGGCAAACACCCAAAAATCAAAACAATGGGATTATGGAAGAAGCAAAAGCAAAAAAAAAAAAAAAAATTAGATAGTGATGAACGTTGGCTCACGTTTGATTGTTATGCTGAAATCCCTTACAAAATTAAGAATAGTATATAGGTATATAATATAATATAATATAACATATATATACATATATTATAACGGTTTGGTCTGGGCCGGTTTCTGTCCTGTAGGACCCTAATCCGGGACCGAATAAAAAATTCACGATTTTATTATTTTGGAACCGTGATCGGACTGAACCGCTATAGAACCGACCCAAACCGCTCGATTCAGTCCAATGTGATTTAATTTTTTGGATTGACAATCTTTTTTGCAGGGTCAATGATCCTACAATCATGGATTAATTTCTCAAAAAAGAAGTGCTATAAACAATGATGCAATGGTCGGCATTACCCTTGAATGGTCAGTTGCTTCACTTCCTTGGTTTTACTCTATCTTGGTCCTTGAGTTTTAGAATTAGAATTTTAAACAAAAAAATAAATGTTAAACCAAGATAATACTACTAATTTTCAATTTGGCAACATGCAATCTATGATGTGAAAAGGTAGTGCTAATGATAAACAATGACAAGTGAGAGAATTGATAGGGTTGAATTCTAAGACAAATATCTAAAAAACATTGGATTTGGTATCACCATGAATGCGACTTTGCCCTTATTAAATTGCATGTGTTCCTCTTCCATTGCCCAAAGGTAAAACAATAGTTAGTAGTATTCAATGATTGTGCCTCCACTATCATCATAAGCTAAAAGATATAGTACTCTACATGTAATAATTATAAAGGAAGTACAACATCTCTATGATCCTTCCTCCCTCTAGTGACCGACTGAGATGTATGTAAAGCCATGTGCTGAATAAGATGCTAGCTCCTAATTTCCGGAATAAGGTATGCCAAGCTAGTGAACACAAGTACACAATAATTGACTGTGTGTGTGTGTGTGAAAAAATGAAATCCACATAGGATTTTCCAGGTGACAATCACATCACCAGAAGTCTGGAAACCCAAACCCATACCCAACAATTGATCCAAATTGAAAGCCTAATAGTTTGGTCCCACTTTATTATTACTATTATTATCATTTTGGTCAGTAATGCCACATTTGACCCCCCCCCCCCCCCCCAAAACACACACACACACATCTTGTCATTACTTAAGTAAATTTTATTTCCCTTCTTTCATAAACTTCTATAAGTTTCATAATCTCAATTACCTAGCTTGATGTTTCGATTTATGCAACAGATTTCCCCCTTGCTGTTAGACACATGATAGAGACAAATATAATGTACTAATGTCAGTAGTAGAAAATTGATAAAAGGTCAGTTTTGTTCTTCTAATACTTGAAATGATAGCAAATATTTTATGGACAAAACGATAAAATAGCATATTACAGTTAGATAGTTATAAGAGAAGTAAGTGAGATTATAAAATATAGGAATATTGACAAATTATGGAGAGTGGAATTTACCCATTTTTAAAATCGGAAAGATTGGATTTACAACATACAAAAAGGGGAAGGAGATGTTAGGTGAAATTCACAGGCAGCAGGCTTAGGTTCACTGTTATGCTGCCATATATGTAATCAATGTACCACAAAACAGAGTAGGCTCATTGGACAGGTCTCAATGATGATAGCCACAGACAAAACCATATGACTTTCTGCAGCATCCTAGTTGCGACCTCACAGCTGTGCTACCAAAGATGATGTTGCAGACAAATAGACACTTGTTAAGGTCCTCGGTGGTGAACACACAGTCACAGACTCTTGAGGGATCACTTCAGCTAGTGGAGTTTGTACTACTCTAGAAATTTAAGGTAAAAAACAAATAAGTTGATGCTGTTAGTAAATTTTTGTCATTTCTAAATCCAATTTAATCGACTACATGCACTCTCATGTATGAAATGAAGACTTTGGTTACTGTATGCTCTAAGATCAGACAAAACAAATGTCTTCTGTGTCTTTTAGAAGTAAGTAATCTAGACTCGCACCAACAAAACAACTAATTTAGGTTGATTGTTTGATATGCAAATAATGCAAGTCCCTACCTTAGCAGGAACATTTCTTGCCAAAATTCAACAGCACGTCTCTTTCGTATAACCTAATCAATCTTTTTGTGTTTCAGATAGGTAGCGAGGATGGTATTATTCCATCATATTGAGATGGATTTGGGGATTCCTAATCCCGTTGTCACGTCCCAAACTTGACCCAATCAATTTGTTCATATATATTTTTCATTATTATTTTGTTTTTTTTTTTTTTTTTTCCGGTAAATTATTTTGTTTATATTTTATTATTTTCAGATTTTTTATTTTTATTTTTTTTCATCCTGATAGTTAAATTTTTGCTGCAAAATAAGAACTGAATCTCATGGCTTCTGTTCCCAAGTTTGATGTCCCTTGTTTAACCAACAACCTGTAGGTGCACTGATGGTAGGTGAGGCACTCCAATATTTTTTGATAAGTAGTAGGTGAGGCACTCCAATTGATACACAACACAGGGCCAGTGGCCAACATCACATGATGGTTCAACGCCACACATATATATCTGAAGGGAAAGTGGGCTACTTGGGCATATTGGTCATATCTTCTTATTGGTAAGATAAGGTTAATAATATCTAGAACAGGAAGATATGAGTGGCACTACATTCATATCCAAAACAAAACAATATATATGTGATTGTCAAGGAGTTATGGGTAAAGATATCATACAGTTTCTGGAGGAATGGCAACCAAAGTGGCTCTGTCTTCCTCTTTCAGCACCAAATTTTCAATACCAGCCAAGCAATCCTCACCATCTCCTGTATTTCACTACACCCTCTGCTCACCAAAAACAAGGGCTCATCTTTTCAAGATTCATGCAGAATTAGGTTTAAGAGACCTCTCTTGTTTCATTTACCATTTTAAGATTTATTCTTCTCTTTGAACACACACATGTACCAGCACATATATATATATATATATATATATATATATATATATATATGTTGTTCAACTGAGCCAAGATGAGTCTGAAATGATAAACTGACAGAAAGGCTTTGGTGTTTTTAGGTGGAGGAGAGGGAGAAGTCAAGCAAGGAGGGAAGAAGAAGTTTATCACTAGAGATGAAGAACCAGAACAGTAAGCCTTCCAACACATTCCTTTCTTTGCTTTCATAATGCCAAACTTAGTAAATACTTTACAATCTCAAAAATGAAACCTGATCGATTTTGAGGCCTCGGAAACAAGATATCTACTTCTAAAATGCTAATAAGACAGTAAATTGGTGGAACTTGTCAAGACATGCATTTCAGCAGTAATATGCATAACTTGAAATGAAGTTGCAGATACGAATCACCGGAAGATTTTCATTAAGTGCAGGTATTGGCAGAGCGCAGGCGAAAGGGCAGGGGAGAATCCCATGATGACACCCCTTCCTTACATCATTATATTCGGCATGTCAACACCCTTTGTGATCTTAGCCATTGCTTTTGCCAATGGTTGGATCAAGGTACCTGTTCGATGATATTATCATAAATTTTGTGGCAAGAATCTCCAACCTTATTTGATTCACAACCTCCTTGCTTCAATATCTTGTACTCTCTAATGTAAGCATATGGCTGTTGTATATGGAATATTCATGCTCTGACATGTTAAATGAATCATAGTTCAATTCTACTATTAGCTTTGGCAGTGTGTAAATCAGATAGATTGAGGGATTAGCTCAAATGTGAATCCTTCAACCCTTCTCACCCAACCTGACCCTTAACCAACACTCAAATTTTTAAGCTCGGGATGGGATAACCAGGTTGAGTTCGGTTAGACTTGAGTAGGGTTTGGTTTGTAACTCATTTGCAAATTGAAAAGAAAGCTATTATCACAATACTAAAGGGAAGTCATAAGTGGAGTATGTGAAGTAATACTGGCTTGTATTGATGTTAAAGATCATATCAAACAGTAAGTGTTGCATAGAAGTAGTCCTCACCAGGCACCAGCCAATGTATCGAATTTTTCCAAGGAAAGGCTTTTATAAGTCCACCAGGGGTTTGTCCTGGTCAGAAATTGGCACGCATGATGTGCACCAGGATGGGTTTAGCACTCCTTCTAGGGGTGGGGATACCTCTTTTATCATTAAAAGAGGATTTTCTTTTGGGTAAAGAATGTCATTCAAATGTTGGGCATGCTTTAGACGCACAATTTGTGCTACAAAAAAAATCAGGTGATTTAAAACCAAGAGTTAGCATTTGAGTCCCTCCAAAAAGCATACCAAATATTCGTGCCTCAACCAGCTATGAACAGAGTTTATCATCTCCTGAACAATTCCTATTTTCGTGAGCAGAGATAACAAAACTCAGTGAGTATGAACATAATCACCCCATAAACATCCAATCTAGCAGCTCAGCCTGAATTCAGCCAAACAAGTCATTTGCCAAAACTCTCAGGAAGATGGTTTTTCACTTTAAAAAGCTACATTTTATATACAACAAAGGTTAGGATTGGATGCTTCTTTATAGAATGTCGTTTCTGTGGGAGCACACTACCCAAATAGGAGTGATGCTTCAAAACTTTAATTTTCTTATTCATGCCCTCCCTTGTGACCACCATGACTAGAAGGTTTGCAAAATCAGGCTCCTTACAGGCATGTTAGCCTAATATGTATGCAAAATTAATACCATGTTTGGCTGCTTATTCATGTACAATGAGTCAACGAAATTAGCTCCAAAGAGTCATATTATACAAGTATGAGGTGCTGGTTCATCAATATGAATCCCATCTTAGCAAATTGAGATTTCTTTTCATGGACAAGTCAATTGGATAAGAAACTCAAAAAATGTACGAACAGTAGATCATCATAACTAAAACGAATAGGAATCACATAAATACGTATATATGGCAAAAATCCTACTTCATCCTACACTAGCTTTTCTTCCAACCTATCAAAGCAATTGACAAAGCAGTTCTGTCAGCAACATATCATAGTTTCCAACTCCGGGAACACGGGAAAGTGTTTCAATTTTTTACCTTTTTTAGTGACTTGTATAGTACTACTGTCACGTATTTTGTGCGAAAACGTTGTGTTGAACTAAGTGCCACCATTGATTTACCGGTACACCTTTTCTGAATGTATAGATGGTTCAACACTGCAGCAAAAGGCTTCTCTAGGGACTCGAGAGAGTCCTTGGAGGATGATGGCTGATCTAGTGGTGATTTTTGTAGTAGAGGAGGCAATTCAGGCAATCTTTCATTAGAGTCCTCTGTACTGAAGGGTAAGCTGTTATAGCTTGATACAGGAGAAGGAGGAGACTCAGTCCCAGAAATGTTGTTCGAGACTTCAGGAACATGATCCTGCAGAAGACATCAGTTAAGACTAAAAGAAGATGACCATCTATCCAAAAAAAAAAAAGAAAGAGAAAAAAAAAGAAAAGAACAAAGTCTTATCTCTTAATTCATTCATAATAATAATAATAATAATAACTCTGCCTTCTTGGCAACCAGATGGAGCATAATATTATTCTGGTGATCTTTGTTAAATGGAACAGAATTGTATACTCTGCTTTCTTTGCAACCAGATGGGGGCATAAGATTATTCTGGTGATCTTTGTTAAATGGAACAGAATTGTTCCACACAACAGCAAAAGATGAAGTAATAGAACTTTGATTCAATTGTTCAGCAAGTGGAACGTTACACTGAACTAACAGAATTTCAGTTATTTGCAGACACAAGTACGTGAACAATATGAATAGGAAACACCCAAAGACCTTACCAGAGAAAATAAAAGAGCAGCAAAAAATTGACAAAATTAGCAGTTATCTCACTAACATGAGTTGAGCAATCCCTGGTGTTCATCTATTAGAATCTTTCCAGTTGCACCTTCGTGAGTTTTAACTTCAAAATTATCAGCTATGCTGGTTAAATTTTACAATCTACATTAAACATTCTAAATTTTTCATAATTGCTCTGTAGAACTTGTGATATTCTATTTTTGAAACAAATTCAATTAAGCACAATCAGTAAGAAATTTACTTTCTATGACATTAAAAGGCACATTTACACATTAATCTACATAAAGGAATAGACATTTAACTTCAGTAACAGTTTCATGCTCCAATTACGGAAGCATGCAAAACCCATGCCACGTAATGTTATGCTACTCTTATCTTTTGGACACTGTTTGTAACTCGAAGTTCACATATCCATCAAGCATGATACTTTGATAATCTAAAAAGGAAAATGGTATTCGGAAATATAGTTCTTCATTCAACAAAGAGTCCATCAGACATAAGGAGAAACAAGTTCATGAAAATAAGGCCCCACTAGAATAATATAACTGACCCCCTTTTCCCAAAATTTTCACCCTTCTCATTTTTAAAATTTCCAATTATAAAATTATAATGTGTTTTTCAAAAGAATAATAATAATAATAAAAAGTACCAAACTGGCCGTAATTGTTTTATGGCATAATCATGTATATCAAGTAATAAACTTACATATGTGGTTATTCTAGTTTCTAAAGAAAAGAATACTTTGTCTATGTCCAAGATCTGTGCCTATGCAAGGAGAATTATCTCCTAAAATCCCAATAGGTATCAAATAATATGTGCAGACACTGCCAGAAGCTATTTTCTCTAAAAATTACCCTGAATTTTCATATATTCAACTCAAAAAATAAGTGCTTTGTAAGATAGCAACATCTAAGATCACAAATAACCTTATTTATCTCCCTCACACACAGAGAGACATCCACCACAAGCAGCAGTTTATGAAAAAAGAATCAAGCATATATCAGTATGAGAGAAACATTAAAAATTAAAAGGCATTAAATCACCCGCAAATCTAAAATGTTGAAAATGTTTCCCATTTCATCAGGCTCCCGTGGCAAGTCCGGAGCATACCTCCACTGCCCATCAACAATAAACCGGAAATGGTAAACGCCTGATTGGAGTACCTTCATGATAGTGAAGTCTCTGCCCGATTTCTGTAAGAACTCTCTGATACAGGGAACTAAATTGTTTATATTGGACAATGTCAACAAAGCATAAAATCAGAACAAATTGTGAAAAAAGTAAATTGAAATATCCTTGCACCTTCTCTTCCAGTTATCCCACGATCCCACAACAGCTACTTCATTGCCATCATAGCTCCATGTGATTACTATCACCTTCTCAGAAAGCACATCCTCATTACTCTGTGTTTGCACCATATCATCAGGCCTCGGTGAAGGAACAATTGGGACCTGTAAACAAAGTATGAAGTTCCTATAGTAACAAGTGTACTGGGAATATTTTTGACACAAAGCCACAATTACAATTCCAAATCCACAAAAAACTGAAGGTCTCACAAATCAAACACATTTAAGTATTGACTTTTACAATTAAAACTCAATATGCCTCTTCATGGTCCCATTCATGAAGTGATTGGGAGCCTCTCCTTTACCCTTTACAGCATCACACACAATATAAAACCATAGTGTGATAGATATGTCCCCCAAAGCTCAAAGATATTCATATTCTTTTGAATAATCACAATAAATCAACATTTCACATAACTACCCGTTTATTATTATTATTATTATTATTTTCCCGTTAAAAATCTAGATAATTGGTAAAGACATGGTTTTGTAGAAATTAAACTATAATTTTTGGACTTGTATCAAACAAGTACTGAGTGCAAAAGAGAACATATGCTTGACAAAACAAATCCAATAAAACCAACCAAATTAATTCTCAATCAGATTCCACAATAACCATGTATGTGTAGAACACCGTCAGAAACCCTTTTTCTCTCTCTGAGCAAATAATCACATACACGTACATAAGAGAAAATGTATTCAAAATTCAAACTACCCACAACTCTAAAACTATTAGATAAAATATGAATCTTGCAAATGCTCATATTATGACTTCAATGACTGAAATATATATGTGTTTGTGCACACACACATATCATAAACCTGACCTGTGGAGTGAACATCAAGGGTGACTGATATTGAGCCCTAGGGCTCTGAATAGGGGACTGAACCATGGACTCCGGGAAGAGGCTATGCGCATGATAGTTAACGTGCACCCCACCATGGCCACACTCCATGTATTCCTTACCCTCCCCATATTTGGTTTCAGAGGGGCTAGCTTCATCTTTCTTGCCACTAACATTTCCCATTACTGCAAAAGATATAAAACCCCATTTAACATAATCCTTAAACCATGATTATCAAAATCACTCTACAAACACGCGCACACACACAGACATACATACATACATACAGAAAGAAAGAAGACAGAATCAAATTAACCAGTGAACAAAAGCAGGCTGGGTGAGATACCCATATCTTTATAAATAAATTGCAGAGCCCTAATAAGAAAGCAAACCACCCAGAATTAACTGAAGGGGCAGGTAACATGATTTTTGCAGCTTTGTGTTGATTGATGGAAAGCTTTGTTTGTCTTCTCACTCTACTTTCTCTCTCTACATTAAAAAAGAGGTAACTGAATAATGAAAAGTGGAGTAAATTTTATTCTCCAATTAGTTTGGAAGATCCCTTTGGTGGATTAATGATCGACGGTTTAAAGGGAATGTTGCTTTTCCTTTCCATCTTTAACCACAACTTTGATTAAAATTATGCAGTGACCGACCACTCATGTCCTGCCACATCAATAAACCAGCTACTAAAAGTAACCAAACCATTGTTTTAAATTACTTTTTTAACCTTGATTTTGAGCGGAAAATGTCTAATATAACCTATAATGATGATGTGGCATGCTAACATGAAGCATTAAGGATCTATGTGGACGCCATTAGTGACATTCTATTTGAACCTTAAAGTTGAGTTGAAATTCTATGTTTGGACCATACGATTTAGGTTTGCTTCTAATGACAGTTAATAGTAGTAATAGAATCTCTTTTTAAATTGGTAATTTACTTTTGAGGTAATAATATCATATTTTGTGAATGTTTATATATATCTTTGATTATTATTTTACCATTTTTGAGTCACCATCTAACATATAGGGCGGTTGGTATGCAGTATGTTTTAGGTGGCTTTGTTGTGGAAGTATTTTGGATAAAAATCGAAATTATATTTGGTTAGGAGCGTTTTGGGTATGGTTAGGAGTGTTTTGGATATAAATCGGAATAATATTTGGTAACGAAAATCTTATTTTAAGAAATTCAAAATTTTGATTTAATTCTTCCATTACAATACCAAAACATACATTTCGCTTCTGGAAAAAAATAATAATAATAATAAAAAATGCAATATCAGATTTGGTGATACGAGCCCAAAAAAAATCATATGTTATGAACTATTCCAAATTAATATCAGCGGTTCCAAATATGATATATGCCCAAATTTAATGACCAATATTAGAAAAACAAAATCATAACACATTCTAAATTGCTATTTAATAACTTCTTCAAGATGATCAATATTCACACCAAAATGTTAAGAAGATAATGAAAGAACGATTAAAAAATGTAAAATAATAAAATTATTATTATTTTTTAATTGACAAAAAACTAAGACACCAGATTAATAATTAAGTTTGACTTTTGAGACTAATTATAACGGGCCGATTGCTTTTGCTGTTCGATTCAAAAGCCAAGTAATTAGGTGGTGCTAAAATCAAACTCACAAATAGTCATTCTATTTTTCATTCGGATTAAATATGGGACACCTCTAACAAAATATCATTAGACTGTAATCTTTGAAAGTAAAATAATTCTTTCATTTAGAGAAAAAATAATAATTTGTTTTCTAATTTAATTTATTAAAAAAACAAGCCTACGTAACTTTCACCAATTATATTGGGATAGAATTAGCTGATCTTCTCTAATATTTGGCCTAATTTACATCCCATATTAAGTTTTACCTTTATTACCTTGCCTCTTAGGTTTTGCTCAAAGAATTTATCAATAATGACTAAATTACCCTTCAGATCAATACCTTTACCACAGCCACCTAGACACCCACCGTTGCCCACCACTGCCACCATCACATCTCTCCTCTTTTGCTTCTCTCTGCGACGTTGATCGCCACCTCCCTCTGCCACCATTCCTCACTCGATATTTCTCAATTTTCTCTCCTCTTCTTATCTCACTCCCTCACCCGATCACTCCCTAACTCCTTTACGTCTTCCCCCCTCCTCTAAATATCATATGACTAGGTACACAAATATAAATGTATATGAACAGAGAGTCGTATGCATGAATGTCGAATGAATTAGTGTGTTCTACATATAAAATACTACGTAGCAATATAAGAGATGTGATATATATTGATTAAAATTTTCATTAAGAAAATGATAAAATTAATAAAAATTGACAAGATATGAATATTACATTATTTTTAGTGAATAAATTAGTTTCATATACAAACTAGTAGCATAAAATGATAGTTGTTTTTATTTTTATTTTTTATTATTCAAATTCAGAAATCAAAATATGATATGCTCTACTAAGCTTGTGAAACAATTAAACTGAATTGACTCATTGCGAAATCATGTCCACATTCATTAAACAAAAGAAAGGAATTGGTGTTGTAGTCGTCCACACACATTTAAGCCCTTCCTTTTGTTTGACAGCTCCCCCCTAACTGTATCATATACATTGAAAATGCAAATCTCAAACAACCGGCCATGAAGAAGAAAATAAAAAAGTACAGAATGAGATTGGTTTAGTGATCGAAAATTTTCCAATAATCAGAAAACATTTTGGCATGGAATCAGCTGAACCAAATATGCCAAAGAAAAGTAATTCTATAGTAGCACCATAGGTTATTTTTTGCTGCTCATATGTGTAATACTAAGTAACACTAGCACTATTCCAACATATATATTGATATACCAAATTAAGACCCCCATGAGATGCCCTAGCTAGCTAGATTACATCTCTCTCCATTCGACTCGATCTTTAGGCAGGTTTGGTCCAAGCTAGTGAAGAAATTTATTCGAAACTCTATATTGTGTGTAAGTGCAAGTTGAGCTAATCAACAACTAAGATTCAGAGAGAGAGAGAGAGAGAGAGAGGAGGAGGAGGAGGGAAATGAATTTGACAACGACTAAGATTGAGAGAGAGAGAGAGAGAGAGAGAGGAGCTAATGAACGACTAAGATTGAGAGAGAGAGGAGGGAAATATTTTGGCAAGGAATCAGCTGAACCAAATATTCCAAAGGAAAGTAATTCTATGGTGGCAACATAGGTTAATTTTTGCTGCTGATCATATGGGTAATACTAAGTAATACTAGCACTATTCCAACATATATATTAATAAACCAACTTAAGACCCCCTATGAGATGCCCTAGCTAGCTAGATTACATCTCTCTCCATTCGACTCGATCTCTAGGCCGGTTTGGTCCAAGCTAGTGAATAAATTAGTTCGAAATTCTATTTTGTGTACGTGCAGGTTGAGCTAATCAACGGCTTAGAATGAGAGAGAGAAAATTGAGTAAATTTTCAAAGTCACTCCTCTTATGATTTTTAAGCTTTACCAAGTATTGGGTAATGATCAAACACACAATATTTTGCAACCAAGTCACTTTCAAATGCTAAGAAGTATAACCGGCCAATTGATATGCATGTATAAATTATTACTGACTTTTTTAGAGGTTACCATCCAAACCATCAAGAAAGGGAGAGAGCTAGTAAAGTATGGAAGAATTAAATGCGATTCACCTTTTAAATGCTCTATATATATAGAGTGATTTAGGCAATGGTAGGCTTACAGTTTTCATGTGATGGGTTGATTTGATATTTGAAAACAAGCTAGGGTGTGAGGATGAAATGAAGGAGATCTCAAAATTTAGCTGTAGCAAGAAAGTTTAGGAAAAACAAGAGATGAAAAGAAAAGGCACAGGAAAAGAAAAAGTGAAGTGGGCAAGAAAAAGGACAATTGTTTGTTTAGCAGAATCTTGTAGGTAGGTCGGTAGTTAGATGTCGGCATCAAATAGGAGGAAAAGCCCAATGCACAAGTCAGCTAATTCATAGCCCCCACCCCCTTTGACACCAATGGAATATGCTAAGCCCACAATTGTTGTCACACCTCTTCACCTGAAATCATCAATATGCAAATGTTACGTTTCTTTTAATTATTTAGAACCTATATATACCTATATTATATATATATATCTATACACCCCCTTTGACACCAATGGAATATGCTAATCCCACAATTGTTGTCACACCTCTTCACCTGAAATCATCAATATGCAAATGTTACGTTTCTTTTAATTATTTAGAACCTATATATATATAGGAGGAACGTGTTCAATATTCTATTCACCATAGGTGCATATATGGGAAATATTGTTGTGTCCTTAATTTGCAATTACCACTTACAATCTCCCACTCTCTCTAAATTCCATGATGTATATAGAAGAATTAAACACATGTTAATTATTTGCACCATTTACAATATTCTGTTAATTGATTGAATTCAAGACTAAACACATCAACGTTTTATCGTCAAATTAACCCATAATTGCGAGGTAAATAAAGTAATAATAAACAACTAATTCTCTAAACAAGACTAGATACATCAAAGTTTATTTTCCAATAATAATAATATCCTTGAAAGGTGGTGAATAAAGTGACGAGGAGGTATAATTAAAATGAAGGAAAAGGTTTTTCTGCAAACATGGACTATTGCCATCGAAAGACAATTTGTATTAATGTAATATGTATCTCCTTGATTCCAATAAAAGAGAGTTAACAATGCTCACAATTTTGGTCTTCATTATCACTGTAAATCTTATACATATTTATGAAGATTTACCTTTCAAAAAAATAAGAATTTAGCAAAGTAAATGAGTAGTGAATCTCATTACATAACATCATGATAACATCATATAGTGAAACTTACTATCACACTCACATAAATTAAATTTAATAACTACCTAATTCAATTCTTAAATCATTATTAAAAAAATAAAAATAATAAAAAAAATGGAGGTTCTAGGTAACTCTTGTCATTCACTTATAATTAGTCCAAATTTTAAAAACATCTCAAATAAATAAATTTATTCAATTTTGAAATACACCATATATACAACATATAAAACTTCTGTGGTATCTATATACTCCGTATATAGCAAGGGGGAAATACAATCCATTTGCGGATCATCTTTTACTACCCAGTCCCTTTCTTCATTTTTATATTTTATTCTTGGTCTATCAATATTTCTCACAATGCTCTCAGGTAGGGTGCTTGAACCGAGAAGAGGAGATACTACTGTGTCAAAGGCTTCACCTCTCCACCGTAGCTCATTTATAAATGCATACATGATGGGTATTTCAATGAACATATTAAAATATTTAATTTAAAGAAAAAACACCAAACATATTGAAATAATGGATAAATTATATTAATTTTCTTTGAGGTTTTGTCAATATACACTAACATTCTCTCGTCTATTAAATTACACTAATCTTATTGGTCAGATTTGTCGAGTTTGTAATTATATTTCTGTCCTTATATATATTTTATTTTATT